GTTTTGCATTAGAGAAAAGTGACTGTACTATGAATAAAATAACCAAACTAATATGCCATTTCACTGTCATATTTACTCAATGACTTCTGCTGTGGTTTATAAATGAGATGCTGCAACTATATTGGTTCTCCACTTATATGTAAATCATCCCGGAACGTGTTTTCTGCTGAAATAGATTAAACTTATTAGCCTATCGTCATTCAAAATTAACACACAACATACTTTTATTTTTAATCACAATTTGTAGCTTTACACTTTTAGCAAAAGTAGAATGAAATTACTTGGGTCTTGTTTAGTAAATAAAAGATACTTGATATTGATAAATTGAATTTAATAAACTTTTTCTTGACTTAATTGAAAGTAGAGAACCAGAAAATATATAAAATATATTTTTCCATCAAGCAGAAAGTTGATCGAATTTTATTTAGAATTGGTTTAATACATAAATCCATTTTAATAAGCTTTCAGCTAACTATAAGTTTATTATTTTTATATAAATGTAACTTGTCCAATTATCATCTTATAGATTTATTGATCGCTTATAGACAATCAATAAACCAATTTAAACTTCAGAGTTTGATGGTTATAATTAATCAAAAAAATGAAAATAAAGTCTTATTAACATCATAACAATATTTACTTTACATCTCAATTCTAAGTCAAGAAAATTTGTTTAATCATTTATTTGCTACTATTGTTGATATAACAATAGTTTTTCTTGTGAATAGTATGTAATAAATTTTCATTGATCTTTTTTGATTATCATTATTATCATCAGAAACCTACTAAGATAAATCAATGATGCGTTAAAAATTTTAAGGTTAAAAATATATATTCTAGATTTTGACAATAAATTGTAACAGGCATGTACAAGTTTATTCAAAATTTTGCTTAAAAAAGTATGATATGAATTTTTGAAACATATACCTTCTATCAACAATGTTTTTTTTTTTTTAATTTCAGCATTCGCTCGATGCCAAGACAATCAGATTAAACGCAGTTCGCTTTGAAGCTTCTGGCTCGTATAGCTGCTCGGTTACTTCGTCTTCCCCAATTTATGCTGCAACTTCTAATGCTGTCAATTTACAAGTTATAGGTATGTCTTGTGTAGCATCCTATAATATCACAAAACAAATTATTAAACCCAACACTTGACCATAATAAACTTGTTGAAGTGTATACAAGAGACTCGAGTGCCCTCAAGACAATGAGATAAATTAAGTCATTTCTCTGTGTCTTTTAGTACCTCAGTCAGATAATCCGCACATAACTTTCAAGAAGGATGTTTATACTGTGGGGGAAGTCCTTGAAGCAAATTGTACCTCATCTCCTGCATATCCTGTTCCTCATTTGACATGGCTCATCAACGGTATTGAGGTATTTTAGATTTTGTCACAACTATTTCCGTTTGGTTTGTGTACAACAACAACAACATGGCTATCGTTAGATAACTGTTATCATCATATGAATCGACATTAATGTTTTATATTTTTTTATTGATTATTTACTGTTTTATTAAATTTATGAATTAGTTTTAATTCAAGTGAGAAAATAATTTTTTTTATTTATCTCGCACGTTTGACCGCAAAAAAGTTACCATATCGCATTCAAAAGTCGAACTACAAGTATTTTGCCGTTAATTTTATTTTTAACCAACTCTCCACAAGTGTTCATTTTCACTTTTATCAGAATTAACGAGATTCCATAAATGCAGTTAAAAATTTACATAAGCGTTGGGGAAATAAAAAAATACAAGAGTTCTCATGTGACAATTATTTTAATAGGAAAAGATAATCATGAATATTATACTTTTGCAACTTGGTAGAGAATAAAACATTTACAGAATAAAAATGATATTCGTTTTTTTTAATGAAAACTTTTTTTTATAGTGATGTAGTAACAGCCGTTTTATTATTTGGTATTGTTTACAATTCAATGGGAGATAAAAATCGTTGAAATTAAAGATGTATCGAAAAAAGTTGTGTGATTATGATAAACAATTCATTGAAGTAAATAAAAAATGGTTAGTTTTTGTTTCTCTTCATGGCAAAATTGATTTAAAATTAAGATATGAAAATATACTATTGATGAACACCTTGTGTTCAATAATTATTAAACGATGATACACTAAAACTGTGACAGTCAAACTTTCAAAATTTAATAGTTTACAAATTAATAGATTAATTGGTATTGTTTTGTCCTTTGTTTGTACTTTGATGTTGGTTGATTTACTTTAACTATGCTTGAAGTACTTGTCAAACTGAAACAATAAGGAATTTTATTACATATAAAATATTATTTTCCTAGTAAATTTAATATCAAAAACTTTAACATGAGATACTTACTTTTGCTAGAACTAATAGTAAAAGATTTAATTTAATCTCTCAATCTATTGTTTTGAAATAAAAAATTATAAAATAAAATGTTCAACTATAAATTTAATGATGTTAGTTTAAATAACACACTTTCATACTTTTTATCATACCGGAGGTAATTGTTTTATGATCGTTTGTTCGTAAATTATGCACACTCAACCGCAAAAGTGATTTTTTACCACAGCTGATAGCTTGAACGATAAATAAAAAAATGTATGACAATAAAAAAAAATATCTTTAAGGTGAAAGTATAACAAGCTTCAAGATGCCACCTTGAGATTTAAGTGATTTTTTCTTTCTACTTGGTCTACAAAGACCTTTGAAGTTAATTAAAAATTTAGAAATTTTTTTCTTTGCTCTTCTTCAACTTTCATCCGTCAAGATGATCAATAATAACGAATAACAAAAACTGAAAAGTTTAAACTTGAAACAACTGAAGTTTATCTCAATTCAACAACATTTTTCACAAAAAAGACACTTTTAGCTTTTAAGTGGGGTTTTTAAATTTTAAAGAGAAATTTGAAATGCTCCATTTCAGTCTTTTAAAAAATCATTTCTTCAACTCTTAGAAATCTTCAACATTAATATCTATTATAATTCACTCCATTGAAATGACATGTAGAATACGTTTATTTCGAGTACCTATACCTCGTGCTATTTGAATATTATTGAAATAAAACCGAGAATACACTAATAAAAGTTATATAATAATATTGTAATAATATTATTTAATATTAGCTATCAGAGAATGAGTTCCTTTTTGTGAATGATTTAGGTAATTGAGACACTTGTCACATCTTACCCATACCGTCAGCACAAAAAAAACTTGATGTCAGCAACTTCGAAATTAGCAATTGAAGTATCAGCTCTTCATGTTGGAAAAAATGGACGTTTAGAAATTAGTTGTCGAGCGACAATACCAAATACTTACTTAATTCATCAGAAAGACTACGCTGACATCAGAACAAAGACTGTAACAGGTGGGGTTTTTATTTTTATCTTGTTTTCTTTACATTTATAACAGAGTCATGTCGATAATTGATTTTTTTTCATCTCATCCATGTGCAGTGGAAATAATTTTAGCGCCTGCTCCAACTTCATTGGCTGATCTTCCACGTGGATTCACACCAATTGCTCTGGGATATATTCTATGTGTGATACACAAAATCTTACCTTAATAATCAAGTCAATTGCTACAGAGTATACTACTAATAAATATGAAAATAAAATAAATTATGTAAAATACGTAAATAATATATGTAACAGATGAAGAATATATATATATATATATCTATATATATGTATAAACCGATACCAAAACGCTGTTCAGATGTTTAATTAAATTTCCTTCAAATTTATTAACCACCATTGAATGACGCATTTTGACATGTAGTTCATATTTCTGTTGAAAATGTCTTGGATTTCAGTGATTTATTGCTTAGTTATATTCATCAATTTTATCACATTTATTTTGGGCACTTCATCACTATCATCTTCACTAATATCATCAAGGACTGCTGATATTCAAATGAATAATGAAACGATAGCTAATAGAATTGTTGGCGGTGAATCGATTAGTATTGAAGCAATGCCGTTCATGGTAAACGAATACATTGATTTATATAATTTGTGTAAATTACTTTTTTCATTTAATCTCATTGTTTACTAATTAATTACCTCAGGTTTCTATTCAGTGGCGACACGAATTTTCACATCACTGTGGTGGTAGTTATATTAAACCTAGTTTTGTACTAACCGCTGCTCATTGTTTAGTTAGGTATGTATTAATCGTTGGTTTTAATCAGAAGAAAACTCAACACCGTTTCAAATGTACAGATTAAAATTTTCCAATAATCCATTATTAATCAATTTTCTCTCCCACTTAAGTATCAAGTGATGATTTTTTTTTTTAAATAATCCTGAAATAGTGAATAAACATTAATTTAACTTCCGGTTCAATAATTTGTGGAATTTGTGGAATTTGTTTATTTTATTTATGTTTTTTTTTATCTCTAAAAAATAACTCAAATCTTTTTTGCTTGTTGCGAATGTTTTATACTAAATCTGGGGATTAAATGTACATATAAATATATGAAGCGTGCTGAACATCATTAAAGTGTCTGATAAATGTTGATAAAAAAAAGAAGTGTTTCTGTTTTTTGGATTAATAGAAATTCTGGAGTTCACTGGACTCCTGAAGATTATAATGCATTTGTCGTGATGGCAGGAAGCTCAAATCTAGGATATTCTCCAACATGGCAAATTCGCAATGTTGAATGGATTATTCCTCATCCTAAATTCACTTTTCGTCCAATGACTCATGACATTGGACTCGTTAAGGTTCTGAATATACTTTTATGCATGCTCATTATAAAACACCTCGCTTGATGATTTTTTGAATAAAAAATTTTTATTTTAATTCCTTTTCAGATTGTAAAACCTTTTCGTTTAACGCGTTATGTTAATTTCTTACCAGTGCCAAGCTTTTATGACCATACATTATTCAACGATCCAAAAATTTGTACAGTATCCGGTTGGGGTCGAACGGCTAATAGATATGACGTAAGTTAATAATTTTTTTGTTTAATACTTGACCTTATAATGTATCTTTTAGTAAAACGTGAAATATCTGTACAAGTCTATTTTTCTATCATGTGATAAATTAAATAAAGCATACATAATTATCGTATTTTTAAAAAAAGAAAAATTATTTTTATAATTTAAATTTAAACTTAAGTTCATTTAGATATAAGTTGGTCTGTATTGAGTGTATATAGTCGAAATGTAAAAACCCAGTTGGGTATACAAGAGTAAAATATAATAATAATTATCGTATTTTTCCTGACCACTTTATCTCTGTAGCTATTTTATCCTGTTAACATTTACCCTCGAGATATTTTAATCCTTGCCAATTACTATTAAAGAAATAACATTTCAAATATTTATTCGGTGTAATAGAATGGAAATATCACGAAAGATGATTTATAATTTTTCCAATATCCTTTATTCATTTAATCCTCCATACTAATGACGACTTTTATTTATTGACTGATGAAAGATTAATTGTTTCATTTATTTAACTTTCATGTTAAGCCCTATATATAACATCAATAAGTATGTAAATCTTATAAAGCTTAATTAAAACAGATAAATAGAAAAAATATCAGAATATTTAAATTAAATTGTTTGTTTTATTCTGCCTTTTATTTACTATCGTACCATATTTAATATGTCATTTAAAAAAATTCTAATAAGTTTATAATAAACTCGATTAATTAAATAAAACTGTTAGTAAGAGCTTGAAAGTTGTTTATAATTATAACTTCTTCCCTTTTTCACACATGATTTATCAATGTAATGTAGTTATTATTAACGACACTTGTAATAAACCCCTTATAATTTAAAAATAAAATAAGTATATTTCTAACAATTTCCAATAATTAACATGTCCTACTTGTTTTAGTCTATTTTTACAAGAACCTTAAGAATAATCATCTATGATGATTAATATAATACAAAGAGCTTTAAATATTAATTAGTAAGATAAACAAGGTTTTTTACTTTATTCTAATATATATTAAAATTTCAATGATGAACTTTCTTATTTAATTTATTTAATGCTGTAAAATGCAACTAGAAAACTTTAAAATAGCTGAAAGCTCTTCATTCTGTAACAAAGTATTGAGATGAGTGTAATTACTTTGATGATAAATTTTCAAATTTCAATAAATCCATCATCATTAGCGAATCATATATTAATTTAAAAAAATAAATTATTGAGTGGCTTTTTTAAAGAAATGAAAAAAATATTTAAATCGTAATATTCTCTGATAAAGATTTTCCATTTTTTTTTTAGCCAATGGTATTGAGACATGTGAATGTACCATTAATGCAAATGGCACAGTGTAAAGAATACCTCGGAGCATCCTTTTCTTCAGAGCAGATTTGTGCAGGAAGACTAGAGGGTGGCGTTGATGCATGCCAAGTATGCATATAGAGGATTGTTGATATATCAATAGCTCAATAATCGATGAAGCTCATTGTTCGTATTTTTCTAGGGTGACAGCGGCGGCCCACTTATCTGTGATGGAAAACAAGTTGGATTAGTGTCTTGGGGATACGGATGTGCAGAACCATATTCACCTGGAGCTTATACACGAGTTGATCTTTATTTAAATTGGATTCACCAATATACGTTGAAAAGAAGCTCTAGTGCCTCTGTAATGTTGTCATATAATATTTTTGCGATTATCATATTTGCACTGCTTTTTAATATCATTTCATCATGAAATTCATTAATGAAATAATTGGAACATAATAAATATCTTTAATTTGCTAAGTGTTTGTAAATAAACAATAATTGCTATGTGAGGTTAATTTTAAAAAATTTTCATTTATCATAATTAAACTATACAAATTTGTATTGTTGTATTACGATTGAATTATAACTAAATTTCTTAATTATTATTAAAATATACATAAAAAATTTGTAAAATTGAATGTAATTATTGAGATAGCATTGATAGTATTGGTCAATTTCAGCTAATCATAAGTATTCTTATTCTTTACTTTTTTTTTAAATTAAATTGTTTGATCACTGATGGAATATAAACTTCAAACCAGACTTACTAATATATTAATCATCAATTGATCTCTTTCTGTCAATCTATTTTAAGATAAGAAAATCAATTTTCAAGTATTGCTGAGATATAAGAATATTCCCTTTAAATTTTTTGAAGGGTGTGAGAATTTACTAAAGCAGAAAATGTAAGAAATTGTCAATTTCTTCTGTCGATAACTTACCATTCTCCAGTAATAAATCATTTTCATGATTTTTTAATTGGTAGATGGAGCAATATGTTACTTTTTGATTGTAAAAAATATAAGCAATTTTACTTTGTTATACAATTTTAAACGATAATTTATCGAAATTAACATTCATACGTAATTACAATTATATGAGCATCATTTATCTTGCTAATTATTTAATATTGATTCAAGATCATTGAAGACTTGAACTCTATTTTTAAGTGACTAACAGAAATTCATTTTTCATGACACATCAAATTTTCTACGGATATGCGGTTCGTAAACTTTTTTTTTATTGTTCTCTTTCTCAATGTTGATAGCAATTGTTTAAGAAACTCAACATAATTAGAGACTATGTAGTATGATTACGTACTCCGAAATGCATCAATACTTTCGGCACGATGTTTTATGTTGAAAGTAAACCGCTACTACGTCATTACATGTATACCAATATCAAGAGAAAGTCGAGTTGATTTGACTCAGTGAGATTTGAGTGGAAAATATAATTTTAATGACGTACATTTCATGTCAATTTTAAAATATATTTTAAGAATTTACATTTCCTTCAAGACTTTTGTCGACCCTAAGTTTTGACCTTTCCTAAATATTTATCCTTGGACTTATTTGGAAGACCCCCTGGATTTGTCTCTCATTTAATACCTATTTTAACACCCTCCTGGAGCGTTTAATACAAAACAAATGGCTTCTGCGAAACTTACTTTTTTTCTGTAAAAAAAACTACAAAAATATTTAATTGTATCCTAAAATGTTAAAAACAATGTTTAAGTTATAAGCTTATATAAAATTATTACTTCAAAAATTATAATCTACTTTAGCTTAAATAATGATAAGAAAGTTGTTAAGTCGTCAATAAATGTCGACAAATATAAAAAAAGATGGCAAATCAATAATAGTCATTGTTATAGACTGCATAGATGTAATATGAGCTTATATATTAACGACATGTGCTCAATGATTCTTTTAATATATATATACATATATCTATAACTCTAAATTAGGTCAATTTCAAGACGCACAATGTGTAAATGCAGTATTATATTATAAACTATAATTTATGCTTTTATTTTTTATCCCCTGAAGCAATTTCTCAAGATATCTTGATAAATAAACTAATCATGCTTTCAATTCACTTTTTTTCTTCTCAGATCAATTAAATTCTGAACTTTGGGTGTACTCAACATGTCCAATATAGATCACCCAATTCATCTTTATTAATAACACTGGTAAACAGCTATTATTTTTTTTTAACTTGTTTACCGGATAAATATATATAATATCGACTGTTTTAATTATATTAGAGACAGTATCTATAAGTAATAATACACTACATTCAAAAGATGATAAAAAAGAAAAAATATTTCAATTATAAGTAAAATAAAATTTTACAATAACAATGTTCATGTACATATCTAGTTTTGAAATATTTATAACAGTATCTGAAATCAAGTATGAAACTATATACAAGTTCTATCAGTTGTTTGAAAAAATATGAATTACTGTTCATATAAAACTCATAGGTGGAAAAATGTTGTTAGAAGTTTTATTACTTTTCTGAAGTAAAAAGCAAACTTTGTGAATTAAAACTCCTAAACTACGTCATAGTATAGTCAACTTTGAGGATTAAGATTTGGACTCTAGAAAACGTAGTGATTGTGATTTGAATGGGTAAAAATGAGTCTGCACATTGTGTTTTATTCAAGGTCTGTAGACTTCGCGATTTGACTCTATAGAAGTTTCAATGACATTATGTTATATTTACTCAGCAAATTTAACTCCTGAAAAGTATTTAATATAATAAAATTAATTAGTATATAAAAATAATCGAAAGAGAAAATTAATATTTCCAAGAATTTATAACATATTTTATGAAATTCTAATTCAATTCAATTTACCTTATTTTTACAGTTTTTTTCTGGTAAGTTGACATCAATTTAAATACATCTTTTTCTTCATTATTAATTCAAAGAGTTTTTATATTTTTCTCTTGATAAAAAATTAGTTTTCCGGAATTTCAAAATTCATTTATATTTTTGAAATAAATATGCAAAGTTGTTTTTGAAAAAATTAATTTTTTCTTGTCATAAAATAATTTTTGGTTGTCTCATTCTTGAGTTTAAAAAATATATTACATTTGTTTAAATATTTACTGCTGAATATTAATTACAACTGCTATAAAATTTAAAATAATTATAAGTCACCATAGCATAAAATGTCAATTTGTATAATTTAATTAAATAAAAAGCTAATAAAAATCTTGTTTTATAAGATTTCTAAAAGGTTTAAGCAATCAAGAGTAATTAAATAGATGGGCTATTTGCGTGTTATATTATTACCAGATTTCTTCATAAAAATGTGTAATTTTTATTCTTTCACACATGTTGAAAAATATATCATGGAAGATAATTTGTATTTATTCTGAATGATCCAACTCACTACACAGTATATGAACTATAAATAAAATGAATAAAATATTTTACCAAGGAAATAAGACTGAAAATATTTTTGTCATTATCATAATCATTATTGGGGGCAACAATATCTGCCATATACAATTATGAAAACCTGGCTTTTCCCAGTAATAACAATTTTGTCTGAGTAAGACTGCCTGTATGACAGGAAATAATGGCCTCAATATTTTACTCGCTTTATCCATGTGGATCATGGCAAGGGGAAAACACAATTAGGTTTGGTGACGATCCCGGATTTATTCAAGACTTCTTCAATGATCATTTGACCAAGTGAATTAACCTGTGTAGGATGGCTGGAATAGGATTACCTTGTTGGGTCTTAGTTTTGTTGTTCTATTGTTCAATTTTAATAATCTGGGCATTTCGTCTGGATGTATAATCCCCGAATTTGAAACAGAAAAAACTTTCTCTGAATGCATATTCAATTCACATCTACTTTCCTTAGTTATTGGGTTACTGGTGTAAGCAATTATATTTTGGTGTCGTAGTAACTAAATATTTCAGTAGTCAGATGGTTTGAAAGACACTTGAAAATTCCTTAATTTAAAGACATAGTAAAATTAAAGCCTAGAATCATTCAGACTTTAATAATCAGTGATGTCACAAGGCGTCAGGGGCGTTGCCAGACTCATCGGTGCCACGAAAAAATCAACGCCTTCTTTTATAATTGGGCGGAGTTTCCAAGTTGCTCTCTTTTTATTGTTCTTCGTCAAAAAAGTATAAACAAATGAAAATTAAATTGAATGGTTCAACAGAACAAAACGTCAATTTATCAATTGTAATTTTACTTTTCAAAAAAAATGTCCATCCTTCGCTTTTTATCTTATCACAATGCTAATAATTGAAATGAATTTAAGGTTAACTTCAAATAAATCACTATTTAATATTATTCAAAATCCTTTCTCTTGTATATTTATCCTGATGATTTCGACATTTGTCTCGCGTGTTGGCACACAATTTAATGAATAACCTAGCCACTAGGAGAGTACGCGTGACTTGATCCATCAAAGATACAATTTGCAATGTTCGCCATCTTTGTTTAGACTCGTGCAACGGTGGTTCAAACGCGCAGGTGATCACGTCGCTGATTTTTCTGCGCACCGAACACACACAGTGGCATTTGGAGCCAACATCGTACTGCATTTCCATTTGGACACGATACAATTTTTCAAATATTCCATCAAAGCATAAAAAACAGAAATAACATCTCATTAAAATTGCTAAAATAATAGTTCAGTTGGAAAAATATGAGAACAAGAAGAATATATTGAAAAAAAAAGTAGAAATATCAGCCAAAAAAAATGGAAACGGGGGTGTTTGTGTTTGATAGGTTATACGGGAGATTAAACAGACGTCATGATAATGCCCCGTAGCGTCACGTCCCTGAACTAAAAGTAAGCGTAAACAGACGAAGTTAACCGAGGATGAACGACTTCAGACGAGAATCGTGAGAGAGTCACAGTCGAGTTCGAGTGATTCCTCGATGGTGGACGTGTGTGGTGCGAGGAACGAAGCAATGAAAGCTTGACCGTTTCTCCACGCGGGGTAAATAATTGCATTTACCCTTCGACAGACTGACACGTTGTCCTACGAGGACTACGAAAAGGTTAAGTGGGCGTGTGAATCGCCAAGTGCGTGTGAAATGTGCGTCTTCAGGGTGCGAGAGGTGCGTGAAAAGTGGCGAAAACAGTGAAGCAAGAACGCGAGGAAGTTTTAATTCTACCTTCTATTACTTTATTATTTAAATCTTTAATACTTTATCCACTTTTTATAATAATTATTTGTCTCTCCTTGATCTGACTACTCATCATCATTTTTCGGCCTCGATTATTTTCACGAAATAGTGTATTCTGTCTCTCTTTCCTGAGGAGAGACACAGTTGGAGAGGCTCAAGATGGCTGGGAATCGTTGAATATATTTACGCAAAATTTATTTCAACGTGGATTAAACGACGAGAAACTACAACGAACGAAATATAATAAAAAAGAAGAACGCAAATCGCAGCAGCCTGATAGCTGCGTTCAGCTTACGAGCAAATAAGAACATGACGCGACGATACCGAACCCATCCGTGAAGAAAGAGAGACACTGGCCGAGGAGTGAAAGGTAAGCTTATTTTTTTTACATTTTATTTTTTGTTTTATTTAATATAATTCTTAGTCTTATTATTTTTGTTTTACATACTTAATACCTCAAGCTGTCGATCAAAATATGATCATCGGAAATTCCCAGGGTATTGTGCGTATCAGATGACGTATAGCTACCCGTATAACGTCTATTGAAAGTCCGAATAGAAAGAGAGAACATGCGACGGATAATAATGCTCATAAGACACGTCAATAGACGTGCTTTGCAATATTTATTTAATTCTTTATTTTTCTAATAATCTTACTTCACAATTGCGGTTCATAGAATTTTTTATGTTTCATTAGAATAACTTATTGTGACATAGTGAGTAGTAAAAAATATTGACACTGACTTGAAAAAAAACTATGCACCGACGGAAAAATTTCTTTGCACCATTTCTTCTACAATTCTCACTGGTTTTCACAATTTATAATAGTCTCTTGTGAAATTGGAGCACCAAGAATCGTGCATCCTAAGTTTCATGATTACATTTTGGTGTTTAATTAAATTATAATGAGAAAAGAGAACAGATACTCATAAAAATTAGTTTCAAAATTAAATTAAGAAAATTATATACATTTTGGTGTTTATTGATAGACTTGGTATTCTAGTAGATGTTCAATTGAAGCATTTTATGTTGGTTGTATGTTTATAATGGATAGAATATTTTGTGATTAACTGCGTGGAATATTTTCAACCAGTCGCGACTACGTGCGTCACAGCTGTAAGAATAACAAATGTCATTAATAACAGGAAATCTATCGTTCATTGTTAATTTATAAATTACTCAAATCTTTGCATGCAACTAGAAATTCATTTTATGCTCCGTTCCTTCAGATTTACAGTTTTATATAAAATAAAATGAATCTAAGGCAACGTAATGAGATGAAAATTATATTTCTCGGTGTCAGCAAACGTCGTTTAGATTCCTGTTTATCAATAAAATATCACCATATATCATGTCGTGGAGATTAATATGTACAGGAGTTACATTCTATTAAATAGCTATTCTACTAATTTTCATTTTATTCTTTATTTAAGTTTCTTTTTTTCTATGAATTTTTTTAATAATCCTGATAGACAAAAATTGAAATTTGACGTCAATTTCAGCTCAAATTGATGTCAAATTCTAACTCTCGTCTATTGGGGAATTAAAATTATAGATTTTTTTAAAAGTTATAAAAAGCATAAAATATTTTGTTATTAGAATTAATGTAAAAAAATATTTCGAAAGGTTTCTTCTTTTAAACTGAACAAAAACCATTGGTATGTTTCAATTTCTCAGAATGAAATAATTTAAATGCTTTCTGACGAAAGTAATTTCTGTAAATTCTATTGTTTTCATTTTGTGGTTTGGAATTGATGAGTATTGTTGCTAAATAATTGACATTTACATATTAGATATTGATATCTTCTTAAAAGTTTTTTTTTGTGAAAGTTCAACTTTGTTGCTTTTAATAGATATTCATTAATAGTTAATAATAGCTAAAAAATTGAGTTTATGAACACCACTAGCCTACATATTTCATTCAAAATATTATTAATATAAATGTAGTTAATCTTTGAGTATTCTTTTTTAAATAGAAATAACAATTAAGCCATATTAAGTCTAATGTTGAACGATATCGAAGCAATATTTTGGAGCAATATTAAACAAACAGTAAATCGATTTTTGTTTCTGTTGAAAAATTAACCATGAGTATTTAATTAATTATCCTTGAAGTGTTTCAGATTTAGTTATTAAAAATTACGTAATATCTTTCTTTGAAAAAAATATCAATAACTTTCAATCCTTTTTGGTATAACATATTAACAATAGCAGGAATTTCTGAAAATCATTTCAATTTATTCAATATTATTGGAAATAACTTCTTCAAAATTTTCTCCAATTTATTATCGATTTTTTTTTCATTTTTTATTTCAATCAAAAATACTTTAATAACAAATGGCTGAAAATAGATTAACAAATATTACAATAAAAAAAACAATTCTTAATATTTTTGAAACTTTCTCCATTGGAAAATTATTCTTTTTTTTTTTTTTTTCAAATATAAAAATAGTTTCTTTGAGAAAAGAAATTTCGAGAGCTGACATTCCTTGGGGATTGAATTCGCATTGACTTTTGAGGCGGGTGACAAGTATACGTAGCAAGGAAATAATGCGTATATATACATATTCTCTCTAGTTACTTTTTGTATAAAGTTGTTGCCCTAGTATGTATATACTATCCATTCCCTTTTTTATACATTTGAGTAAGTATGTATCAGATTCTATCTCATTTTCGTGGGCTGCTGTCTTGCTTTTAGATTTCTATTTTTATGTCGTTGGATACCGAACTTTCTACCGAATCATATGATACTATGTTTTGCGAAAAGAAAATAACAATACAAATATAGATATATAATAATTTTTTTTTTTTTTTCTTCAAAAGCTTCATATAATAGCATATCTTATTTCGTAAAATTGCTCGCCATCTCTTCCATCTTCATGAGTAAATATAGCCTACGAGTATACACTCATCGCTAAATTTTTCTTTATTCACATTAATCATGTAGAAACTTGTTTGCACCCAAGATATAATCACAAATATTCGCTGAAAAATAAATCAATTTCATTTGTAAATTATACCATTTTGTTACTATACTAAGTACCATAAATACTTTCTATATTAAATAGTTGTATATAAATTTGAATTTTATTTCAAGTATTAATATTTTTTAAAAGGATACTCATTTTCCGTAAATTATAAACACAGAATACTTAATAATACTTTTAAATGAAATTAATTATGATGTATTATTTATAATAAATTATTATTAATATTGATTGATTGGTTGGGTTGAAAATTTTCTATAACGCAGCTTGTTTCTTTATTGACCCTTGAGGGGAAATAAGAGATGTTATGGATTCCAGTTTTCTACGTAGTATATTTTTTATTATTGGATGAGTATTGTTTTGACAATAAAACTATCATATGTAATATCAGTCACAAATTAAATTTGTATTATAATATTTTATGTATGAGTAATAGGGATTGAACAATTAATTTATAGATCAATGCAACATCAGTTATTATGTAAAATGTTTAATATAAATTTAAATTATTTATAAAAATAAAAATTAATTATTTCAAAAAATTGAATTATAACTGTAATTTTTTATCTGAAAAATTATTCATAAATTCGTGGAAAAAATTAATTGAATTTTTTTTTTTTTTTGTTAAAAGACATTTTTTATCTCAATATACATAATTACGTAACCGGCTTTTTATCGATCTTTAATTACAGATATTGAAAACAGGTTACTATTGATTTGTCGAGAAATTATTGAACCTCACAATTTAATTAATACCACATTCTTATTTTTTTATTTTATTATCACGAAAAAATTATTCAATTTTAAACAAACTAAAATTTTATAATAATTATTTATTGATTGTGGTTAAAAATTTATTATAATAAAATATTCATTTGTTATAAATTTTATAAATAAGCTTATTTTATAATATTCATTCTACGAATCAATTGACACGTATTTTATCTAGATGTTGAAAAAATGATACGAACGTTTTTCAAAAAGGTCTGAAAGAAAATTAAAAATATCACTTTTTTTATTAAATAAAAATTCGAAAAAAATGGCTTCAAGGAACATAAAACATTTTTACTTAATACCATGCTAACATTGCCTCAAAAAAAAAATATAAATTATAAATTTTGTTGAAAATAAACACAGAACAATCTCAAGAATACAGAATTTTATTGAAAAAATTTTTGTAGAAGGAAAAATAAATTGATTCAAGAAGAAAAAAAAACTAAACTCCAAAATCCATTATCAAACGACTCCAAGTAAATAAAAAATTGATTTTTTTAATGCATTAATTGATAGAAAAGATATCTACGCACGTAATAAACATAAAAAGATATATTAAAATTTATTTTTTTGAAAATCATCATTTTAGGAATGATAAAAAATATAAAATCATCGTTGAAAATAAATTTATGTCAATTTGATATACTTGATATATATATATAAGTGTAAAAATTTTAATCATCAATATTGTTATTTTTCATCAGCAAGTTTATGCGGCAGATATGTGTCGTGAGATAAGAAGAAATATTTAGTCTATTAACTGAAGTCTTTATGAGTACACACGGGTCTAATAATTAGTGACGATTATTAACGGTACATATTTTTAATAATAAACGTTTCATTTATTAATCTATTTTCATTAAAAATAAAAATATTACCTTCAAAAATATGCTCTTGAAATTCTTAACAACTGTCAATACTCTGTCAGTATATAAATAGAAAACAATACCAACAACTTTATGATACTCACAACTAAATATAAAAGCAATATTTTGTTAATAACGACAGTTATCAAACTTTGGATTTCAGAAAAAAGAAGTAAATAAATAATAAGAGGGTTTAAAAAATTTATCCATCTGTATATAATTATATACGATTAAATTATAAATTAATCGTATATAATGGACAATAACAATGAAAAGCATAAAGTTTTGAACATTTTTTTGTCGTACTGACAAGTACATGAAATGTTTGTTCATTTCGTGTAAGCCTACGCCCACCAAACTCCCAAATTTATAGGGCAACAATAAACTTTGATAAAGTTGTTGTTAATAATAATGTGAAAAAAAAATAAAAAAAATGAAATAGCAAATTTTAAAGTTGAATTGTCTATCTACATGGGCTTCAAAAAATCGTCACGATCGTCATCGTTGTCTGACCCAAGTTGTAAATGTAGACTCCCAGCAAGTGAGAGCAGCTGCGACCCGTTTCCTAACATCACCGATTGGCTGACGTGCTGTTGCCGTTCGCTTGTGACGATAAGTAAAGAGAGAGATAGTAGTAAAAGAAGAAGAAGAACACCAATGCCGACTTGTTGTAAATTGTTTGGCCGCTTGGCGAGTAGAGAGGCCGACAGACCTTTTCAAAGACGTTATATTTCTCTCTCTTGC